TTTCCCTGCATTATTGCAGACATAAACAGTGTACACAAATAATAAAACATGTCTCCCACCGTTGCTTATCATAGAATTGTAAATCCCAACAGATTTAGTGTTCTCAATGTGGATGCCATCAGTGTTGGGGCTAAGCTTAGGCGTCGATATGGACAACTTCTCGATCAAAACCCCTTCGCACCCATCGAATTTCATATGAAACTGAGGGCTGTTTTGGATCCTTATGCCACTCACTACTAAGTTCGAGCTCATGAAGAACCTTATCATCTGTATAAAGCAAAGCACAGATCAATATTCAGTACACTAACAGCGTATAATTATATATATATATATATATCGATATGTCGTTTAAATCATACTTACAGCAGGGCTGTCACATGGTCCTGGCAGAGACGAACCATTTGGACCCTAGTCGCATCAACACATGAATTTAGGGCCACGCATTGATTTTTTTAACTTGAAAAATAATAATAATATGATAAAGTACCCTGTGAGGTTTGCAAGGGAGCTCCCACCACTTGTGTCCATTTCCTTCAATGATCCCATTACCCGTTAGTTTCATGTCATTAAGTCGATAAAATACTAGCCATTGCTTGCGGCTTTCTGCTTTGGGCCAGCAATCTGGTCCCTCTGGTGGCATTAGGACTCCATCAACCTTCCACCATTCAATCGAATTAAACTCGTAGTCCGAACACGAATACGTAAACTAAGGGCTAGTTTAGCATTGTTATTTAGAAAGATCGAAAAAAGCTTACTTGGAACACAAGTCCAGGTTTGCAAGGCCCTGAGAAGATAGTGGAAGTGATCATGAAAACTTTATCCGAAGGAACCAAAATAGTAGCTGATTCTACAGCACAAGCAGCTTTCCATGCTTCCCTGAAAGCCGCAGTGTCGTCCAAAGAACCATCACCCCCTGCACCGTACGAAGTCACATCGAAAATGCAATCCGATGTATTACTGGGATCGTTCGGGTAGGGGTCCGAGGGAATCGATGGCGAGCTAGTGGGAGGAGCTTCAGCAGGTGTTGAAGGAACTGAAGGAGCTGGTGCTTCATCAGATGGAGAGGGAGGTGACACATTAACCTTTTGTCCCTTGTGGAAATGATATCTCGCATGGACATTGCCGGTACAGAAGATGACCATTGCCACCACCATCCATACGAATAAAAACCCGCAACCGAGGTCCATCGGAACTACACAATGTTTCAGTATCAAGCAGGCTGCGAACAGAGCAAAATGGTAAATTTTCACAAGTGATCTAAGGATTTTGATGAGATGAGCCAAGGGGTTATACTAATTTATAACGAAGCACTAGTCCACAGGGGAAAAACCGTCATGGAGTGATGGTTCGACAAGTGTCAAGTCGTGATTGATGGAGGTTTTTGCTTTTGTGTGCCGAATTTGGCAGAAGGTTCTTTGGATTTGGCTTGGTGCTTCATTGGTCATCAGTGGATGTTAAGATTTCTGTTGCTGGTTTTGCTTTTATGGCATGTGATGTGTGGTTCAAACATGTCATTTCTTTTCAAGAGCATTTACTATTATTTGTATTTTTCCAGCTTTTGTGGGTATTTATTATTATTATTATTATTGTTGTAGGAAGAAGTTGTGGCATTAAGCTTGTGAAGTGTACACAAGTGCCAAAGCTACAGCTTCAGTCTTTTAAGGTAGTTCATGACTTCATTCATGTTACCAGCTGGTTCTCCAAGCAATATGGGATGGTAAGCTTTCTTAACATTGTTTTCTAGGTTTAGAAAATTCGAATCCGAAATGTTACTCGATTTCCTTATCATTTGGTTTATTAAGCGTGAGTAATAAATAAAGATTTATATATGTTGAAGTAAGCACATAAACAATGTTAGAGATTGTGACTCGAATTATTTGATGGTGATTCAGATTGAATTAAAGAGTCACATCTGCAGTTGCAAGGATTTGGTCATCCGATGTCATGTAAAAGAAACAAATCTCGTGACTTTGTGTTGTAGTGTAGCTAACATATACAGTAGGTGGTGGACGACAAGAGAATTAAAACACTCACGGGTGCATCCAAATCCTGTGGCCCATACTCAACCTTCGTTCTCATCAATAACTCTATGTAGAATAGGATGGAATTTATAAATTCAGCCCATTAAATCGAAAATTAAATATTTAATCTATTGCATTAATTAAATAAAATTAAAAAATTAATGCAATATCATGAATGATTTAAAAAAAAAACTAATATGAATCCGATATTAAAGCTTTTTGAAGTCGAGCTGATAAAAGCTTTGAAGCCATCACGGGTGGGTTTAACAGTAAGCTACAAGAACACTTTTCTTAATATTCCTGGCACTGTCAGGCCGAGTTTGTGGCTGAGAGCATTGACACATAGGACTGAGTTGATTTGCAGGAGATTCAGCCATTGGTTTCTTTTTGGTGAATGCTTGGGGCCACTGCCACACCGCTTTTTCTACATTCATTGGCTATGAGCTCGTGGGTTAGTTTTTATTAGGATGGACATGAGATTCAGAGATCCCATAGAATTTGATAGGATATAATTTCAGATTGTTTTTTTTACATAAATTCTTAGAAAAATATTATTATGTCAAAACACGTTATTATTAGTAAATACATAATCAAATGTATGTTCATCTTTTATAATTTGGTATTCAATAATCACAAAAATTATATTTTAAATTTAATTTGATATCTCATTTAAAAATATTACCATTCGATCCAACATACGTCGGATCTCGACCACTGATAGTTCCAAAACAAAAATTCACATGCAGGTACATGGAATGGCAAAATGAAGAGCAGACACGTGTCATGGTGGAATTCACGGGTTATAATTTCAGAGTCACGGGTGGAGAAAAAGGATTAATCGTTAAATATTAATTATTAAGAAATTGTCTCATGTAATGGCTTGGAATTGGGTCCTTGAAATCGCGTAGCATTGCACGAAACCAGCCGACAAAAACACGAGACACATCACAGATGCTCGCCAATATCTTAATTAACGTTGTTTATTTTATTACTAATCTTTGCCTTAATGATTCTTAATCGAGTTTATGCTCAAAACTTTGAAGAACATAAGGGGAGGCTTCCACTCCAATAATATCTAACCTTGAAACAAATACGTCGCACTTTCAGTTATTCTAAAAATCTTAATATTATATATATGGTATATTTAATTCATTGGAATGGAATTTATTGAATGATATTAGTAATAAAAAATGTTATTTTCTTCGTCTCAAATTTAAATAATTATGTTTGTAAAGGGTTTGTAGGGTTAATGGTTAAAAAAATTACGAAACTGGAAGATTTATACCCCACGTGGACCACTTCAATTCCAGTTTTTTTTCCAACATGTGATTATGGAAAATTAGGAGATGTAAGATTAATAATAAGAATTGCGGTGAGTGGATAAGTAGGAGATTTCCATGCTTTCATGGATCATGCAAGGGGGAGTACGTTTGTACATTGCCATTGCAGTGCAATGCTCATGACTCGTCTCCAATAGGGTAGGTTCGATTAAATCGATCACGATATAAAAATTGATCGAATCGATTGTTGAATGAAATAACTAAATAAATTTAAAAAGATCAGACGGACTTGATCATTTGCTCACCTGTAGTTATGTGACACCGTTTGTTGGGCTCGTGTAATTGGCTTCAATGAGATTGAAGATAAAAGTAGCTACCAATGAGGCAGTTGTTTATGCCATTGGATATGTGATTCCAGGGCCTATGTTAGCCCACAAAGCAGAGGAGGACGGTGTTGAGTCTATGGCCGGTAAACCCGACCATGTTGATTATGACAAGGCACCGCCTCATCGGAGCTTAAGGCGATCGGTATCGATTAGTGTGTCAAGAAGTTGTCTTTCTTGGCAAACAGAGTCAAGACTATCGACGATGTGGAAGAGGTGGTCAAGATATTGGTCGATAAGAAGTCGGACAAAATCCTCAAAGTACATGTCATGACACCCAATGCTAAAGAGTTCATACATGAAGCATTCCTCGCCATTGATTACGATGCCTCAAGCGAGGAAATTGCTAATGTGTGCCATACTTGTCATAGAGGACGAGCAAGACATTGAAAAAATGTTCATAAATGAATAATAAAATCACTTATAATTTCTAAAGTACGAAACTCAATCAATGAAATCCAAATCTTAGCATTTATAAGAAGGATTTTCTAATAGGAATATTCTCCCTACCTTTATAAACATTTCATATATATGAGATTATTTACCATACTTGAAGATCTCTTTAAATTCACATAATGTTAAAGGTTTTTAATAATAATATATATTTGTTCCCATAAATATATTTAATAATCAAATAATTTTTAACTAATAAAATTAATTAAAACCTCCCGTGAATATTATCAATTATAATTTTAATCAATCTTTAAACCTATTTTTGTCAAGATTCTAGATTCGAGCTTTATGAATGAAAAAAATAATAATATGAAAAAAGTTTTATAAGAGATAAAAAAAAAAAGCTATTGCCTTTTTAGGTAAAGTTTCAAGTTTAATTTTGAAAATTTTTGTTTCGATTCAACTTTTGATTTGATGAGTTTGAGGGTAAAAATGTTGTTTTTAAAATAATTTTTCTGATTCAACTTTAAAGTGATATAATTATACGAATCAACTTACCTCAATAGTTAAAAAAATCATTTTGTTCTTGGAGATCATGAATTTGAATACCAACGACTGCAATGGTGATTGGGTGTTTATTGTCAAATGGTCGAGAATATTCAGAACAGATATTACTTTACAATCACCTTAGCTTAATTAAATAAATAAATAAATATTTGATATAACTATTAAAGATATATATAAAAAGAGGTAAAAAAAATACTACAAGAGTCAATAAAAACATATTAATGCTTAAAAGAAGCATAATAATCATGTTTTTAAGATGGATGTCAACAGAACTAATACTACGTTGGCATAATCATATGCATATTTAACACTATAAAGGTATAACTAAACATATCTCAAAACATAGTAGCATAATAACAATCAATGGATTATATGAATTGTTTAAGCTGCAGATGGTGCTTTCCTCTCGTTATCGACAACATCATCTTTATTAAGCTTAGAGATGATGGAGCTGAGATTTCTGTGTTCATCAATGGCAGATCCCTTGTAATCCAGAGATTCATCTTCGTAAATTTCCCACCACTTCTTCACCAACATCTTTATGTCCTCTCTCTCCATGTTTTCTTCCTTCCCAGTGTACCTCCATGGCTTTGATCCCTGCAATATTTACACGCATGCATGCATGCATCAATAAAAGTTCATTAACATATATACATGATACATACATACATATATACATGCATACATACCGCAGCACAATAATGAACGACCTTGACTTTCCCAAGGTCTATATTTTCAGGGTGGCGCCATAGAAGAGCCAAGACGAGGTTGTAAACAGGAGGGATCGGCTTGTAAATCTCCCTGAAGAACATATTCAGAAAGTCCTGCAATTGTAATTTCACCATAAAATAAATAAAAAAATATGATTCTTTAAGAAGAAAATTAGGTCGAAATTACAGTTTTAGTCCATTAACTATGCTCAAATTTATGATTTAATCCTTTTAATTTGATATATCTTGAAAGGTTATGTGCTTTTCTTAAAAGAATCCATTCTAACACATTACAGTTGCATAGTTTTTAGGAAAGACCTTTTAAGAAAAATACCACTTTGTAAATTATAAGGACTAAATCCTAATTTGAGTATACTACAGGGTATAAACCATAATTTGACCCGAAATTTAACATTAATAAAAAATAAATGAAAATATGAATCTACCTGCTCAGCAAAGGAAGTAGGAGCAGTGACTTTGAGAGTGTCCAAGAGGCGGCGGTAAGTGACAAGATCAGGCTGGTAAATGAACATGCCGGCATTGAAATAGAGCGGCGGCGGCGACCCCATTGAAGTCGGCCAGTCAACTTTTTCCGGGCATTGTTGGCAATATCCAATCTTGTACTTAGGAGAACTGGACCATGTTTTCTCACAGAAGCAGTCCATGACGGCATAGAAATAGCCATCGTCAAGCTCAAAAAGGTGATCGATATTGCCGAACACTTGAATATCACCATCCAAGTATATCATCTTCTCGTACTCCACAAACTACAAATCAATTAACTCGCGATTAATTGTCATTAACAAGGATAAATCCAGGGCTGCTACAACAGTCGTGCCTCTAAATATTTTAAAATTTCATATAATTAACATTTTTTCTTTATATTTTATATCAATAACTTAATTTTACATCTTTTAAAATTTATAATTTCATACCCCTAAAATTTCAACATAACTTGTTAAAAGTTTCTACTATTAACATAAAACCCTAAGTTTAAGTTTGTTGGTAGTCATAAAATTTACAAAGCAACATGCTTGCTTATATATATATATATATGTTACCTCCCAAATACGAAGTTTAGAATAGTTGATGACATAATAAGCCATTGCAAACTGTGCCTGGTTCTCCGGCGGATAAACAGGCTCAATCTCGCGAACAATGCAGCCCTGTGAGCGGATGATCTCGCGGTGCTCTCCGGGAACATCAGGCAGAACAGCCACCACCAAAGGGTACAAAGACTTAACATGCCTCAAACCCTTGGCTAAGCCGACAACACCTTTCACATAATCCCCATTGCCGGCCAAGAAAGTGACGTAAGCCCTCTTGGGAACACCGTTTGCAGACATGTTTTGAACTGAAAATAAGAAACAGAACACTGAAGTTGTAATGTAAGAATCTGAGGAATCAATGTAGGGTGTGTGTTGGTGAAACAAGGGTTAGGTCTTGTACTCTATTTATAAGCTTTTGAGATGTAATAAAAAAATATTTGGGGTAAGTGTTTTGAACCGAATCTCTTTGATTTTAATTCGATATCGTCATGCAAAAGAAAAAGGGAAGTCTACACCTGCCTCTTCTCTTGACACATTGAAAAGTTTTGGTAAGTATTTGCAATTGAATCACTTTAATTAGATGGTTTAATCTTGCATCAGTCCTTTTATTTCTTAGACTTTTAAATTTTAGTCTTTTTTTTTTGTTTCTATTATCGGAGAATTTGGTCTATTTTACTTGTATGATTTCAAAATTAAAGTTTAGCTGGTAAGAGTATTAATGGATTTTTGTTAAAATCTGAATATTTGATTTAAAAGTTTGGAATTTTTGGGGTGGTTCTAATGGTTAAAGTGAATTTTGTTCTACCTGGGTGATTCAGTTTGTACGTGTGCGTGTGTTTAGATCTAGAACTTTTAAAAACATATGTTTAAAAATTTGACTTAAAAGTTGTAAATCCAATTAGTAATTTTCTTAGTCAATACCAAACATTCTTACATCTACTTTCTCATTGATAATTATTGTATCTCGTGTCATCTATCAGTTGATCTAATAAGATAAGATGTTATGTTCATTAAAAAACGATAATTGTAAATGAAAAAAAAATTGAGTCGAGAAAGTCATTCTAGTTATGGATATCTATAAGATCTGATCTAGATTAATCGATCAATAGATCAAATGGTAATGAAGCTGTAAAAAAAAAATGTGTCTCGTAATACAACTAATCATGAGTTTTCCATAGCTTCTCTTCACCATCGACCTCATGATGTATATCATAAGGTTGGCTTTTCTCACGGCTTGGTGAAACACAATTCAAATTTAAAAGAAGTCAATTAATTTTGTTATCAATTGAATATGGAAGTTTTAAATCAAACAAATAGAACGACTAAATACCCCAAAACTAAAAGTATTATCTAAATTTCAAAAGTTATAAGAGTATAAGGACCAAGTGTACAATTAACTTTATTTGATCACCTACTTATCGTGTGTATCGTATGGCACAATATGATCTTTATGTCTAAGTGGACCTCGAACGGCCAAGAAACCAGCAAATCCAATTTGTGTTTGATGACGGTTGTAATTCTACGCCGGAGGATTGAGCCTTATCAAATGGGTAGTCGGCGGGGAGGATAACTCAAAACAAAGAGAAAAATAACTGACATTTTGGATGTTAATGGGACGTGGCAGCAAATTATTAGTAATTCCAAGTGTGATGAAACTTATGCCACGTGTTAACATCTTAATGGCTCAACTGTTGGGTTGATATTTTCTTTTGAGTAAGATAATTTAGGTTAATTAAGAGGTGGGATCTCACCATAAATTGTAATTAATAATTCATTGAAAAATATAAGGATATTGCCCTTAATTTGAGGCAATTAATTAACTATTTAATATATATTTATTTATATGATTGGATTTTGATCTATATATATATTATAATTTGAAGGAATTTATTCCATATATATGATTGAATTTATATAAACAATTATACATTTAATTTTGCTACTAAATATATGAGTTTCCTTGAATTGAAAAATAATAATTGTGAAGAATTTAATTTAGGACAAAGGGTGAATAGGGTTTGAGGATTTTTTTTTTAGGTCGGAGAGATTTAAGTGATTATTTTAAAATTTAAATAGTGAAAATATTATTTTAAGAGGACAAATAATATGCTTTAAATTTAATCATATCGGACAACAATGTGTGCCAGTTGACCAATAATTACGGTAAAAAAAATATAAAATTTTTGCAGAAAATAGAAAATATCATTAATGATTTAACTGTTTAGTGATAAAAAAACAAATGTATATAAAATTGATACAAACAATAACAATTCATACGCGCGTGTGTGTGTATATATATATATAATCAAAATATAATCACCAAATAAATTCAAATGGATGATAAAAAAATTTTGCTAATTTTTATCTCAACCCTCCATCTAAATCCATTTAATAACTATCTTTAGTATAAAATCAATAATATTTACACGATATAATTGAATTACCCATTCACACATACATATACGTATAATATATAGGGTTAGGATTAGGGATCGCAAACGGGTGGGTCGGGTGCGGATACTCTCTCCTCCTTCCCCATACCCACCTAATATTTTTCAATCTACTACCCGCCCACCACTCATGATAGGTACAAATTTTCAAATCCACACACGCCCACGCGGGTACATTTTCAAATCCATCCCCACACCCACTACCCACTAGCGATATACCCATCTAGACCCGCCTGACAGCAAACTAATGGGATGTTGGAGTTGGTTCCCAGACAGTTCGTGATGGGGTATCAACGCATGCTTCAATTTGTCAGAGGAGTGGCTCTACGAATGTTATGGAGACAGATTGTAGGGAGCATGTAGTCGCAGAGCTGGATTGTTGAGTTGCTTTCGATGTTAATGCTCATAGTTCGCCTAATATGAGTTTTGAGAGGCTAAAGAACATGAAAACTGCTACTTTTGATGTTAATGCATATAGTACGGCTAATTTGTGTTTGGATGGGCAGCATGAGCTAAAAAACATGGAAAATGACGTGGTTAGTGGGATTATGGGTTTAATCAAAGAGCCGAATATTTCCCTAATTAAAGATCAGATTAAAGACTAAATATCCTTAATATTTGGTTAAATTATATGTTATATATTATACAATATTAAAATTTATAAATTAGTCTCTAAAATTACACCTAAATTCATAATGGTCCAAAATTTAATAGATATTTAGCTGGGCGGGCGGATGTAGGGCAGGCGGATGCGGGGCGGATAATGTCTCAAACCCATTACCCGCCCACCACCCACGACGGGTACCACTTTATAAATCCACACCCACCCACTACCCGTTAAAATTATACCCATCCCCGCTCCAATTGGAGCGGATGCGGTGCGGAATCCACGAAATTGTACCCGTTTTCCATCCCTAGTTAGGATCCACCTACACAATATAAAACTCTTTTAGTTTTATATAGATTTAGGACCGTTGGATGAGTAAAATAGATGACTGAGATTAACAGTAGGAAATGAGAAGATATTTATTGGAAAAAATAAGCAGTTAGTCTTAACCATCTATTTTCACCCATCTAATGGTCCTAAATCTGTGTAAAACTGAAGAGTTTTACATAGAGTAATTTTTAATTTTATAAACAGATTAAAAACCTATCGATCTTTAAACAAGTTGTAAATCGTTAATAAATAAATAAACACGGTACAAGAGAGATTCAAAGTTTGATTTCCTCCAGCAAATTAATTAAACATATCTTACTTCCAATCAATATCGTTTAAAGTAGACATATATTCAATACAAAATTCGATTAGGCTTTCACTTTATAAACCAAACCACCTTCTCAACTTCGTTTTCTTTATACACAATCGTAGCAAAACGTGTAACTAAAACACACCATAGCAAAAATGTACGTTATCAAGCTAAATCATGGCTTTTATAAATGAAGAAGATTCCGATACGGACCTCCCAAGACAAGTGGCTTACAGAGAAGTACCAGAGTCAGAATAAACCCTACCCATATACTCACTTGAATATATAGACGAACATAAAATTTTATACCAAGGGTGTAAATCTTTAAAATTTATATTAGAAAGGTGCAAAATTATAATATTTTAGAGAATATAAAATCAAATCATAAAAAAATACATAAGAGTATAACCTCAGGCCATCCCTACTTTGATGTAATTGAGAGGGTTGTTATCCTTTGGTCAGACCAATATGTCCAACATTCTAGTTCATATTGGATTATTAACAACTGAGAGCAGGCAGCGATTTTCAACAATATAAAGAGCTGATTGTTGATAAATATGACAGATATGTTAACGAGTAAAGTCGGTAACGATATGCCTTCCTGTCATCTCAACTAGAACAAAACTGGGAAAATTCAAAGTGCAGATGGTACGTGATATGTAATAACCATTCTAATCCAACAAAAATGAAATGAGAGCAGTAAAAAGCTTACACCATGGTAGCCACCTGCATAATTTGTTGCGGAAGACGGCTATCGGATAGAGCAAAATCACAACTAATAATTTGAGAAATTAAAAATGAAGATAAAAGAGACACAAAATTTACGTGGAAAACCCCTAAATAATATAGGGTAAAAACCACGGGCAACGGTAGAAGAATTTCACTATGAGAAAATAGGAATTACAACTTTTCTCTATCTACCAAGGAGAAAACAATGATAATTCTCTCTTGATAAAAAGGAGAAAACAACTCTCAAGAAACTCTCTAAATTCTCTAGTATTGGAAGAAAGCTAGAATGCTTTGGGATGATTTGAAGCTAAATGAGCTAGGGTATTTATAGTTGAAACCTAAGGGCTAATCTTGTAAATACCCTAAAGTACAATGATTAAATGTTGTAATTATCCCTTGCATAATTCAACAAAAATAATAATAAAAAAAAACAAAAAATCAGCAGCCTAGCAGCCGGCTGCTTTTGATTTTTCCACAATCTCCCACTTGAAGATTTGATTGGAACAATCATATCTTCACACCATTCTTTCTACCTTGTACCATCATGTTGCTTACGTCTCTGACAGGCCACAAGAGGATCGACACCAGGTAAATTTATCAGCGTTGATTGCCTTCGTCATGAAATCTGCTATGTTGTCTTTGGTATGGATCTTCTGCATATCTACCGTTCCTTCTTCAACCTTTTCACGAATGAAATGGTACTGAACTCGTATGTGCTTTGTTCTTGAATGAAATGCTGGATTCCTTGCTAGATGCAAGGCGCTTTGACTGTCACAAAACAGAGAGACATACTCTTGATTGTGCCCAAGCTCCTCATATAGCATCTTCAACCAAATTGCTTCTTTACTGGCTTGTGTAGCTGCTACATATTCTGCCTCTGTTGTGGATGTAGCCACAACTGACTGCAATTTTGAAACCCAGCTTACAGCTCCACCAGCAACTTTGAACACATATCCTGTAGTAGATTTGCTTTTATCCAAATCCCCTGCATAGTCAGAATCTACATAACCATTTATTAGTAAGTTTGATCCTCTGTAACATAATGCAACATTTGAGGTTCCCTTGATGTATCTTAGGATCCTCTTTACTGTATTCCAATGCTCTTTGCCTGGATTCGCCATGTACCGACTAACCACTCCCACTGCTTGTGCAATGTCTGGTCTTGTGCATATCATAGCGAACATTAAACTTCCCACTGCTGATGCATACGGTACTCGAGACATCTCCATCCTCTCTTCTTCACTGCTAGGACTCATACTGGAGGATAATTTGAAGTTAATAGGAAGAGGAGTAGAAATTGGCTTACAATCTTGCATGCTGAATCGTGACAAGATCTTCTTCAAGTAATTCTTTTGTGAAAGCCAAATCTTCCTATTACTTCTGTCTCGGTGAATTTGCATCCCTAGAATCTTGTTTGCTGATCCCAAGTCCTTCATTTCAAATTCCCTAGCCAGTTGTGCCTTTAATTCTTCAATATGATCTTTGTTGGGTCCTGCAACCAACATGTCATCCACATACAACAGCAATATAACAAAATCGTTATCACCAGACCTCTTGAAATAAGCACAAGGGTCTGCATTAAGTCTGTTGTATCCAAGGCACATAATGAAGGAATCAAATCTCTTATACCAACACCTCGGCGCCTGCTTTAGACCGTACAGAGATTTGTTCAACCTGCAAACCAAGTTCTTCTTTTCTTTTTCTTCAAAACCTTCAGGCTGGAGCATATAAATCTCTTCTTCAAGATTTCCATGAAGAAAAGCTGTTTTAACATCTAGCTGCTCTAGATGTAAGTTCAATGTAGCACACATTGCCAAGAGTACTCGAACTGTTGTTAGTCGAACCACAGGAGAAAAAATTTCATTGAAATCAATACCTTCTTTTTGAGCATATCCTTTGACCACCAGTCTTGCACGGTACCTCTCCACTTGATCGTCAACATTTCGCTTGATTTTGAAGACCCATTTGTTACCAATTGGCTTCCTTCCTTGTGGTAATGGCACAAGGTCCCATGTATTATTTTTATGAAGGGCTTCGATTTCTTCTTGCATCGCCATCATCCATAATGAAGCATCTGAGCTGTTTATTGCCTCCTGGTATGTTGATGGCTCACCGTCCTCTGTTAAAAGGCAGTATGCAATATTACCTTCTATAACATAATCTGAGTGCCAATTGGGACGTCTTCTCACACGATCTGATTGACGAGTTATTGGAGCTTCAGAACTCTCTAGTTCTTGTTCATCATGAGCTGGTTCTGCTTCAGAAGAATCTCCTTGTTCAACCTCCTTTTCCACATGTATATGAGTAATCTCTGACTTTTCAGCGCTAGCATCGTCTTCTTTTCTTTTAGCTTATCTTCTACAAAGATAACATCCCTGCTAATGATCACTTTGCGGGCAGTGGGATCCCACAAGCGATACCCCTTTACTCCATCAGCATACCCCAAGAATTTGCATTTCCTGGATTTTGGATCCAACTTCGAAATTTCTTGGGAGTTATACATCACGTACACAATACTTCCAAATACATGGAGGTTTGAATAATCAGCTGGTTTACCAGTCCACATCTCCATTGGTGTCTTCAGCTCTATTGCAGTTGATGGAGCTCGATTCACCAAATAACAGGCGGTATTGACTGCTTCTGCCCAGAATGATTTTCTAGGCCTGCATCCCTCAACATTGCTCGTGTTCTTTCTAACAAGGTTCTGTTCATCCGCTCTGCCACTCCATTTTGTTGAGGAGTGTTCGCCACTGTGAACTGTCTTTTGATGCCTTCTCTCTTGCAAAAGTCATCAAATTCTTCGCTTGTGTATTCTCCTCCATTATCTGTTCTGAAACACTTGATCTTATTTCCAGAATCAAGTTCCACCCGCGCTTTGAAGTTTTTGAAAGTTGCAAACACATCTGACTTCTTCTTAATAGGGTACACCCAACATCTCCTGGAGTAGTCATCAATAAATGAGACAAAGTATTTTGCTCTGCCTAGGGATGTGACCGGTGCTTGCCATACGTCAGAGTGAACCAATTCTAGAACACTTTTGCCTCTAGAATTTGATGTGTTGAATTTCAACCGGTGTTGCTTACTTGTTATACAATGCTCACACAAAGGAAGTGATGCCTTTGTTAAGCTGGGAAGTAGCTTTTGCTCCACAAGGACTTTCATTCCTTGTTCTGACATGTGTCCAAGTTTCTTATGCCATAACATTGCAGAATCTGAACTACATGAGGCAACAGAGGCTTCTGCTTCTAGCAAAGTCTCTCCCTTCAGCATGTACAAGTTTGCAGCTATCTTTTCGCCTTTCAGCACCACAAGCGCTCCACGGAACACCTTCATGATTCCTTTGTGTGTTTCAATCTTGCTTGCATTATTATCCAACAATCCGTAAGATAATAAATTTTTCTTCAGGCCTTTCACATGCCGTACATCTCGAACAACTTTAATTGTTCCATCATACATCTTCAATTTGATGGTTCCCACGCCAACGATATCTAAGGCATGATCATTGCAACTATAGACAGATCCTCCTGAGACAGGTTCATAATGATGGAACCATTCTCTTCTTGAGGTCATGTGATATGTTGCTCCTGAATCAATGAGCCATATATCTGCAAATCTTTTTCTGCCTTCCACGGTAGTTGACGCTTCACAGCATAGAGCATCTCCATCATCTGAAGTGTTTGCGGTATTGCCTTGTGGATTGGAGTTTTTATTGAGACTCCAACAATCCTTCTTCAAGTGACCCTTCTTTCCACAGTGGTAGCACTTTAAATTCTTTTTGCTTCTGGACTTCGATCTACCATGTTTGTGACTGCTGCTTTGGCCACGTTCTGTTGATCTCCCTCTCGTCGTTGTCAACGCTTCTGCTTGTTGCAGATTTACTTGTTTGTCTTCCTTGTTCTTGCGCCGATTTTCTTCTTGTAGAACAGCAGCTGCAACGTCATCGAAGACTAGACTGATGACATTACTATTTGTCAAGTTGATGATGAGTTGATCATACGAATCCGGTAGACTTTGAAGTAGAAGTTCAGCACGTTCTTGTTCTCCTATTTTACAGCTTAAGGATGTAAGCTGAGAAAATAAGGTGTTCAGTGTATTTAAGTGCTCTGTCACTGAAGTAGATTCTGACATACGAAGAGTGTACAATTTCCTTTTAAGGAAAATTTTATTGTGCAACGATGTGGCCTCGTACAATTTGGTGAGATGATCCCATATCTCCTTAGCTGTCTTCTTCTCCTCGATGCTTGACAATACTTCATCTGCTAATGCTAGATGAAAGTTTGCCATAGCATTTCCGTCCATCTCGTTCCATTTATTGTCATCTGCGAAATCCACCGGCCTTTCATTGATAGCCGCTAGACACCCGTCTTTCCTCAGGATGGCCTTCATCTTCAATTTCCACAGTGAGAAATTTCTCCCATTGAATTTTTCAATATCAAATTTCGTTGTCATAGCTTCTATTACGGATAGCTCCCACTATTTCACTATCGTGAATAGTTCTCTGGAACCTTCAAAGAATGGGTAATACCTTCTTACTTTCTTATGTTGGATGATCCACCTTTTGGTGGCAACCACAAAGACAATAAGCAGATATTACACACTCTAATCTAGCTCGGATACCAATTGTTGCGGAAGACGGCTATCGGATAGAGCAAAATCACAACTAATAATTTGAGAAAATAAAAAATGAAGATAAAAGAGACACAAAATTTACGTGGAAAACCCCTAAATAATATAGGGTAAAAACCACGGGCAACGGTAGAAGAATTTCACTATGAGAAAATAGGAATTACAACTTTTCTCTATCTACCAAGGAGAAAACAATGATAATTCTCTCTTGATAAAAAGGAGAAAACAACTCTCAAGAAACTCTCTAAATTCTCTAGTATTGGAAGAAAGCTAGAATGCTTTGGGATGATTTGAAGCTAAATGAGCTAGGGTATTTATAGTTGAAACCTAAGGGCTAATCTTGTAAATACCCTAAAGTACAATGATTAAATGTTGTAATTATCCCTTGCATAATTCAACAAAAATAATAATAAAAAAAAACAAAAAAATCAGCAGCCTAGCAGCCGGCTGCTTTTGATTTTTCCACATAATTAGTATTGTGTCTTAGGTCATCAACATCCAAGCAGATAAATAGCTGCAAAGAAGAAACATTTCGAGGATTTAAGAGAATCTCAAAATTTAATTTTAGCAAGATGCACTAAAGTGACAAAATTTAATTTGAAAGATAAGCTGATGTTTCAGCCCGGGTGAATGCAGTAATTGTTTCCTTACCTTGAAGCATCACAGAAAAGATGTTAGGAACTTGAGAGGCTTACACACATAAAGCATAATTGAGTCAAAATAATGCTAGGAAATGTGAACAATGTTAAAAGGCATTTATGCATGACAACCACAAAGTGATTCTGGCAAACTCCATCTATCATGTTTAAATGGGTAGATTAGAACCTCAATGTGAGATTCGGAAACTATTGCCCACAAAGTGAGTCAACCTGCAAAATTTAAAAGTAGACCAGAATACCTGCAACCCATGTTCATTAAACATAGCAATCCACTCTTTCCGTATAAGTTGCTGAAATCCCCCAAGGAAATGTGTACTTTGTTGTCTTATCTGCAATGACATCATTTCACAGCGTCGCTATCATGTAAGGTATAAGACAAATGCATTAAGTTACTTACACATGAAGTGTCTTACTACCTGAAAATTCAAACGGTGGTTAGATACAAGGTGAATAAATGTGATAACATTCTCATTAGTAACAAGTATGTTTTTGCCTCCTGGAAGCAGCTCTTCCTCTGTTTGCTCTCCGTATTCATTATTCACAATTACAAAGTAAAGCTCCAACTCTGAAATGTCCCCTCTATAATGCTGAATGGCATGGCAAAGACAGAGATTAGAATGCTAGAGCCATAGTAACATGTAGATGGCGTTAAAGGGTGACTATGCAATTAACATTTCCCCAAGTATGAACACAAGATATATAAAAGGGGGGAAATAAGAATAATCACCTTCAAGAAAATAAGGTGACGATATAGCTCAGGGTCCAAGGAAGGCAGATCATTTAAATAGTTGTACCTAACCAATTAGAAGAAAAATACATGTGTATAAATATCTCTACAGTACAAGGTCTTCCAAAGAGGAGGAAACCTCACTTTTGTTTCAATTTGCCCAAGAAGAATGTTGCAAATGGTATATCTACAAGAATTCCTTCAAACATGGCCTACAAGGAAGGTAATATCATGCCTCGCCAATAAGCCTATAATAGATAAAGCTAACGTAGCATACAAGCAAATTAAATATTAAAGCATTGCACAAAATAGTAGTTATTGAAACAACAATCCGAGTCAGTCTTCACGAACTTAAACGGTTATTGATCTACGATAATTGATGTTGATCATATCAATTTCTGAAGCCGGAATCAAAGATTGTCTTGGGTATTCGGTGTACAAAGAAGAGTTACGAGGATTGCCCTTGTAGACAAAGTAATCGATGTGAATCCCGAAAGGAAAATCTAATTCGATGATCCGAAGAAAATTGAGTCAAAGCGAGGCTTGAGGCTATTTTTACCATATTCATTTTCAAACTTCAATTTTTATTTTCTTTATTTTTCTTTAAATTGCTTTTTATTATTTAATCATTTTTACCAAACCCTCTTTTTACTACTTATCACCTGCTATAAGCAATTCAAACTGAATTTTGGAATTTTCTATGTCCCTAAGAATTAACCCTTACTTCCCTTTACTACGTATTTCCTATATTTATTAATTGAGAAGAATGAATTTATTTTGACATCAAAACTACAGTTTTCAATCAGCAATTTCATGTTAATTATATGGACACAAGATGTGTCACGCTAGCAGCAAACAATAACAGTTAATTAATTAATAAATTTCATCCGATCAACAGTATTAATTCTCAAGGTATAGTGGAAGATTCAAAGGAATGTTGGGTCATTGATTCAATCATCATTAATTATTCTTATATTTTTCATATTATAAAAATATAATATAATTTATTTGGATCCGAAAGTCTTAATATAATATTTTTTATATAACTAACAGTGTTAGTTGAATGGATAAATGTTTTATGTTTTATAAGGTAAACTGAATCATGATAAATTTGGGTTGATAATGTGATGAAAAAAATGTGTCATCTAGAGTGTGGGGAAGGGGAGGGGGGAATTATTTAGACGACATCTTCTCTCTAACTGTATATATGTTCAAAGTTATTTATATGATCATCTTCCTCTGCATCACCCGAGCTATACAGAAGGTACCCCTAATTTGTACATCTTCATGAAGATGTCTTCTACTCGTGTTTCTTCTCCATGTTACTTATTAAAATGGCCTACTTGATAAAATAATTTTGGGGTACGTTTCCCACCTCATTGTCTAGGCAAAATTGGCCCGAATCATTGAAAAGTTGTGAGAAGCAGGAGCATGAAAGTTATTGATCCTTGGCTGGAGTCCGTGGATCATGTTTCTTCTATTGTTTAACTAATTATTGAATAACCCAAATATGTGAATTATGGTAGTAAGATAGACATATTTTTTGTGTTGACAACTTAATTTTGGAGTTAAAATGGAGAATATTTGATAAATATACGTTATTTGCATTTGTTGTTAAGCAAATGGTGGACTAAGACAAATAAGACTTGGCAATATTGCCATCAGCTCCCTTGGGAAAGAACCCACCAGGGACGCTTTCGTTGCCACTTCCATAAACGATCCTCAAAATCTCTTCCGGTGTTCGATCAAATGCCACCGAGAATTCATCACCGGCAAGCACATTGCCTACAACTTTACCTTCAGCACCGAAATCTACCGGCACGATAAGACCTTCGTCTTTGGTCCCGGCACGTCCAAGTGTGTTTCGGAGATTCGAAATTCGATTGGTGAACTCTGCCACGACAAACTGGTACGGAAAGACGTTCACGGTTGCATGCTGGTATAGTAAACCCCTGATAACGGCGTCCTGGCCTGATTCTACTCCTAGGAGACCTGCAACAAGCTGAAAACAAGAAAATTGGTTTAATTATGCATTCGGTCCCTTTACTTTTAAAATTGTTGGAGTTACCCTCTTTGAAATGGCACCCTGGAGTTTAGGGTTTGCACCAACGTAGCCGGTGAGTCCAACGTAAGGGATCAAGTAGGAAGCAATGAGGAAGTTGATGCTATTGGCGTAAGGGTCAAAAGGGGGCATCAATGGCTTCCCAAATGCTTTATCTATCACTTTTGCAAATAACGATGCACTCAAATCAAGCTGTGGCCTTGGGAAACCTTTCACCGTCTTCTTAATTGCCCTACATCCAAAGAATACATGTAGTTCCATCAGATTTTTCCTCGTTCAGGGTTCAACTCGACTACCAAACTCAAAAACGAAAAGGAAAAAAAAAGAGGGTTTTGAGAGAAAAGACACTAACTTCAAGTGACCAACTTCTTGGTAAGCAAATTGTAGGACTACATCATTGATGAGAGTGTCAAGATTGGCCTTTTTGGCACCGATGGGAGACGGACCACCATCGGCTAATTCCGGAGCAACTTTATCCAAGCCATGACCCAAAGCACCGTACAAGAAGAACTCAGCTTCTAAATACTCCAAATTCAATGGAAACTCCAACAAATCGAGATCGGTTTCGGGGACCGATGAGTTATTGTAACCATCAGCAAAGTCTGCAGAATAGGTAGAAGGAAGAAGGGAGATGACAGATAAAGAAATGAAAACAATGGCCGCAGAGGACAATAAGTAAGGTGTTGTCATTGCCAGAGACTGATAGAGAGTATCCTGATGCAATGCACAAGGCATTGCCATTACGTATATATATACATACGCACGCACAACAAATTGCAGAATTTCAGGGTTAAAGTCGGAACATTTTACAGCTGGAGTATCCGAGTTTTATCGGTTACGGATAGAGGATAAGAAGTAAGGGAGGATTTGGTTTAATGGCGTAATTGATGGACCCTTGTCTTTGCATGAAAAATTGAAGATCTAGAGACTATGGAGATTACAATTAGTTTCTTTCCCCTTATTCTATGGATTTTATCCTCAGAAAAAGAAAAGGAATCTAATCTTTCCCTTTTTTCAGATCCTATAAATAATAAATTAGATCGAGTTCAATCAAAAATTAATAATTCAACTATTTGACCATTTACATATAATTAAAGAATTAATTATAATAAATCAATAACTATTAAAAATCAAAATAAAAACTCATCGACTTAACTCATTCGACCGACTACTATTAATTTTTATATTAAAAATATTTGTATTTAATTATTGTTAAACAAGTGATTCATCTATTTAATTTAAAAACGAATAATTTGATTGATTCATATAATTATTAAACGAGTGATTTTATCCTGGAGAATTAAGAAAAAGATTGATTTTTTTAATTATAATTGTGATTTTATATGATCTATTTAAGATTAAGGATTTTATTATGTGGATTTATGATTATAATCCAGATAATAATAACGATATAAAAATTAAATCGGTTTTTTAAATTCAACCAACCGACTGCTCTCAATAATGTCGTGAGTTTGGGTCATCGATTGACCATTGATACTTTTAAATTTTTTTTATATTCAATAAAATTCAAAACTAATAATTAATAATATAGAGAAATAAAATTTTAATCAATTTAAATAACCAGGGTGTTTAAAGTTTGAACTTGTGGGAAAATAACTAAACCGAACTGAACACATTCAAACTATAACAAAATCAAAATCAAACTATATCTAATAAAAACATGTTAAAATCAAATCTAAACCGAACACTACAATCCGAATTTGTTTTCAGTTAACATTACTCAATACCTAAAAACAGTAGTTGGTAATTTGATCTCTCAAGTAAATCTCGATTTCGAAGTCTTGTGTATAAAGAAACTCTCTGTTGGGAGACTCACCCACTAAAACCAGAGGTGTAATATGGGTCAGTCTAAATTAGTCAAGACAAAGCCACGAGCAACCGAAAGAGTAAAAAAAACACACATTACCCAATACCTTGGTGGATATGAAGGGAAAATTTTACATCGAAGAATGAGGGAAAAGAGGTAATTTCTACATGCACAACATCTCTATAATCCATTTACAGTGTCTGGGAATGATCTGAATAAAAAGAAAACCAATGTCCAATTCTGGGAATAATCTATTGAAATTTGCTGTCCTTTATTTCTCAAGCTAAAATGGTTTTGTTTGTTTGGGGGCAGAACAAATAAATTCAAGAAAACATACTAAAGTTTGATAATAGCTGCACCACTCGAAGGCTTCGAAGCGAAAACATAGAGACCAAGATCATTCTTGTTGATCACACCTTTGTCCATCCTAGATTGGTAGAATTGTTCCTGGAAACATAATCGAATGTATAAATACGATGCCTTTATAATGAAACAAAATATTGTGAGCGAGCGAGCTCAAACGACGGTTATACCTTCAAATTGAGGATGAACTGTGGTACGATATTCTCTTTTACCAGGGCCACGGCACAACCACCCCATCCAGCTCCGGTGAGTCTTGCTCCCAAAGCACCGTTGTCTCGACATACTTCTACAACTTCCTCCAACTCCGGGCAGCTAGTTAACAAAAAAATATAAAAGGTAAGATGAAGTGATACTAACCAGCAGACCATCCGAAAGTCGCATCAATCCGGAGCAGTGAAAAAAGAAAAGAGACAAGGAGAATAAAATCTATCGAAAAGCTTGATCATGCGTAGAAACTAGAAAGAGGGTAGCAAATCATCTTTTCAATGGGATTTCACTTATGATTTTAGAAACAGTTTGACAGACTCGAGGAAAGCAACGAACAGGGACGGTAAATCTTGTTCTTAACGAGATTTCAGTTACTTTCCTAGGAGGAGTTTGACAGATATGCACATTCTAATAGTCGTACCTGCATTCATAGAGAACACTACAGCTGTGGTGGCTTTCGTTCATAAGATCACCGAGCTTCTTGAGTTTTTCATCCGCACTGCACAAACGTATTAATAATTACGGTCCACCGGTTATCGAAACAACTTGCGGACAGAACATAGCCAATTATTAGCATTTGAAAGTCACCTCAAACTTGATGCCACCGCATCCTTAAAAGCATAAACACGCTTGGCTTCAGAGTACACGTGAGCGGCTCTCTGGAGATTAGGATCAACAGATAAATAAATACACCATAACATAAATCCAATTTATCAAAATGATTCTTGCAAAGGATGGCAGTTAAATATGTACAAAATGATTTAAAGACCTTGTGGAATCGAATAAAGTATGACATAAAGATGAAAGACAATATTCCAGGATCACTAGTACTAGTTAGTAATAAAGGGAGCGTAAAGTGAACCCAGAGTTTAACTCAATTGGTTTATGCAGCTACGACCTCCTTCAAGCTACACAAAAGGGGAATAATAATGCGAATGGTACACACCAAACTGCACAAAAGTTTTAAGGAAAATGTATGCAACTAGAAAAATCCTACTATTTAAAACTATTGATTGAAGAAAATGCATGTGATATGGAACATAAGTGCAATGGATATTGAAAATAGAGAAAAACTAAACTACAATTGATAACAATATTTAGTTCGAAAAGATATTAATCTATTCGAACTTCAACTAAAAATACCTGATACAACTTGAAGTGCTTGGCTGTTTTTAGCACATCCAAAGAAGTTGGATTATCACACAAGATTGATGGAAGAGCCTTATCAGTAATTTTCTCAACTTCTTCAGCTGCATATGGCTCCTCTTTCAAAAATTCCTGCAGCGAAGGTACAGTTTGACATGAAATAAAGAAACTTTACTGTATATTTAAATGTTGGCAACTGAAATTCTTAACAGAAAAATAATAATAATATCACGGAGGTAGAAAATCAAAAGATATAAACCTTGACAGCAAGGACAGGATCATTAGAACCATGGCCATCGGCAAATTTAACACATAAACCTTCAACATCAGAAAGGGTTTTGACTTTTGATATTGCCTCTTGTGGCTTCATTCCTTGCTTTATACCAAGCACGATCTGAAATTGTGAAAAGACCAAACAAAATGCACATTGTGAGTATCCTGAAATCGAATATGATAGATACACCATGCAAAGGACCCTCAAAGTTGAAATTTTAATCCCATACATACACACTTGCACATTCAGGTAAGGAAATATAACTTACGGCTGCCAGTCGGCATTCAACAACTCTATTATTATAATTTATAGCAGCTGTTACAGCCTTTTGAGATTCTGCCAATGAATGGGCTATCACGAATGTGCCACCAGCAGGGAGTTGCACATCAGTTGCTCGAATAGGGTTGAAATCTATTAGCTCAGCAAACCCGTTTTTGGCCATCACAGAGATTGCCTGTCATAATAAAAACAGGGTAATTGTGACACAAAATTCTCTATAATCGCAGAGTAAATTTAACAAACTTATATGAGTTGGTAGCATCTTTAACATTATTTGGTAAATTTAACATCACAGTAACTCAAGAAATCAAATGAATTCGTTAGTAGGAAAAAGTTTAACCTGGTCCATTCCACCTGATAGTGTTCCAACGTATTGTTCACAATCACAGGTTACTTGGGCAATGTCTTTCTGTTAAACAAACAGATATTAGAATTTCAAATATAGAAAGACGCGTGGTTACCAAAGTGAAGATAGTATACCTTTGGGAAGTTAACACCAAAAGCAGCCATAATAGCAATTGTACTTGAGCAAACCAAAGCCGCAGAGCTTGATAGACCGGAACCTGGAACAAACCAAAAAATGAGCCAATTTCAACAAAGAAAAAACTACTATCATGTGAAGTTAAAAAAAATCAATTAGCATTCAAAGTCATGTAAGTGATGTAAAAGAGTACCTGTAGGAACTGTTCCGTCAACAAGAACATCAAGGCCAACTAGCACGCCTACATCCACTCCTTTTGACTTGCAATATTCATAAAAACCCTTGTACCTGGAGAACAAGGACAATACTGGCATCAAGTTTTGAGGGGATTCATGTAAATAAAACAATAGCAATATCTGTGTCACTCTGAAGTGTTCTTGCATATTTGAGGAAAAGGATAAAAAACACTAGAATATATTTTTACTCACCCACATATGAAATAGTGCCCCCATTTATGATTCTTCAAGTCAATTTCCTGCACAATAAACAATTTCAGGTAATTTTAACTCAAGTTCAGAGCAAATCCTTATTCCTCGAGCTAACAAACCAAATGCTTATAAGAAAATCAGCATTTTTCAATGTTATAGAAACTAAGGCAATCAGAGAATGAGAACTGAATAGGTAAACTAGCAAATAAACATTTGACAATTTACATAATCAACTAGATAACTATAAAGAAAAAACCAGAAAATTAGCACTTTGATAGAGTCACCTGGTTAGGATCAGCAGGATAAGTACAGGTAGCATACTTATCATTGACATTAGCAAGTTTTAGAAGCATGTCAGTCTCCCCTTCCTTGTGCTTTCGGATTGCCACAATCGTGTCTTGCCTGATTGCCATCGGCAACACCGAGTATCCTTCATAGTCAATGTGTTCTCCAATTAAGTTCACTCTCCCTACACATAAATAGCCATTAATTGATCAACCGATACAAAAATAACCATTGCTCACAATTAAAACAATCAAACCACGAAATCCACTCACAGGATAAAGTCATTTGAGTTTAGAACTTGAAATTACAGAATAGTGTAAATTGTGTGATAAAACAATTATAAATACATGATTCATGATTATTCCTCAAATCTATGCCTATGTACTACAGGAAAGTCAAACATATAATCATACTGAATCTCAACTAATTTCAGCACGCATTTTATTCTCCGGTAGACGAAACTAAATCCAAATCTTCAAATTCATTATCTTCAAAAACAGTATTTCATTAAAAAGAAATCCTTCACGGGTTGTCGCTAAGCCATAGCAACACAGAGAAAAGCAGAACCTGGAGATCGAGCGAAGACATCGGGAGGATGACCGAAGACTTGGAGAAACTTAGACTTCATTTGACCGAATCGAAGCTGAGCTTCTTCCAGCTGAGATCCTTCGCCATAGACCGGTTCGAGGGAAGAAAAAACCGGAACAGGTAGCTCTTCGTGCTTCGCCATGGCTGTCAGTCTGCAGTTTTTTCTTAGTGATTGATTTCTCTACGCACTTCCACTACGAAAAGAACAAACCGAATCGCAGAAACCAAACGAATTTCTGAACCACTGGTATCTTTTCAATAATTGCTCTTTTATTGCTTTCTTCACTAGTATTTTTCCTTTTTGTCGCATAGGAATCTAATATTTTAGGGTTAATTCACAATTTGGCCCTTAAAGTATAGAATCCGACGATCATCTCCAGATATTCATGTACGTGGAAACAATTTAACTTTTATAAGTTATAATTATAGTTATAATAACACATATATAGGATTATATTTAGAAATAATTAATATGATTCACATAAAGAATTATGATCGATATAAAATTTATATAACTACAATTAATATCAATTATTATAATATTTAAACGAATAGACTAATAATCGAAACACATTTAAATATAAACAAGAATAGTTTTTTAACAATACCCACATATGTTCCAATTTGAATTGAAATACGTATGGGATGAAACTCGAACCTAAATGCTCAAACCTCAATGTTTTATAACTTTTCCAAGACCTCGCTAGCATAGTTTAATCTAATTGATTGATAGTGAGGGGGATTATTAGGCGAATAGCAGCTTTCTAATTTTTGAATAAACATAAACGATTCACATCGAAATATGCTTTAATTTTGTAAGTGCACTTAAATTTAGGGATAGATCGAGGGGAGTAAGTAAGGGCAGTTGTCATCGTTACAGCATTTAATATTTTTATATGTTTTAAGTATTTTTTATATTTTTTATTGATAATATGTTTTTCTCTTCAAATTTTTATAACTTTATCTATAACCTAAAATCATGTATACATCTATGATTAAATTTTAACTATATTTTTAAGAGATAAAATGAATAAACAGTGATGATAATTTGATTTAAATTTGACGAGCTTCAATCAAATTCAGTTTTATAAGATTTTCTCAAATAGGTTTATATAAATTTTGGAAAGAGTGACATTAGATCCAGTTCAAATTTAAGATAAAAAAATTTGATCCGACCCTAATCAAGATAATAGTATAATTTTCTTCTATATAATATTTAAGAATAATTGTTGTAATACTCATCTCTCTATTTTTTTAATTAGGTCTCTATTTTACTAAATAAAAATAAGAATTTTTTTATTTATGTCGGACTAAATTAGATCAAATGTGAGTTTTTCCTCAAAATTTGAGTTAGTTTTGAATGAAATGAGAACTTTCTAGACTTGGATTAAGACAAGTATAAGTAAAGGAAGTATGTTTCTGAAGGTCAAATTAATCGAAAATCCGATCAAACCAATATGTTACCATCCCTATAAACAACCATCATATTATATCTAGTGAGTTCATTTAATTTTTTTATTAAATAAAGTACTAAAATATTCTCTATATTGATTTACTGGCTACATATAATTCAGCTAACTTGTCATGCGTGGATATATTATCTTTTTAAGCTAATGAAAAATACATGAGAAATAAGAATATAACAATGCTAATCTATAGACATAGCCTGATTGATTCTCATCCCACTTTCTCAATATAATTCAAAGCGCTAAGAAATAGAAGTGGGTGTCACGTGTAAAAGAAACTTTCATACCTAATAGTGTAAAAAGTGGGGGGGAAAAAAGAAGAGGAAGAAATATTTTTTTGGATTTTGTCATTTGGAGTTTTCAGTGAAATTCTAGCAAAAACAACACACAAGCAAGTCATATCTCAAAATTAAACATTAAAAAGTTGAAAAATGAAAGCATAACACATCTTGGATATCATCCCAAGATACAACATACAAAACAGTAATGGAGTGTTGTAGCTATTCCCTATTGGCTATAACAGCTTTAGCTTTTAGCAGGCATGGCATAGCTCTCTTTGTCTCCTTCCCTAGTTTGGCCCCTTCTTCATCACATTATCAAAATCTATCCAAGTTTTTTTCTGAATTCGACTTTTGTGGACAGAAAAAAAATAAAAGTGTAGTAAAATTACTGATTTTTTTAAAGTGGTTATTCAAAATGGATCTAATCTGACTAACTTAGAACTCAATAAATTCGAATTTTATGAGCAGAGGAAACAACAGAAGGGACCCGTCTTAAAATAGATTTAATTCAACTCAATTCTAAATTTAATCTAAATGGAAAATCTTTGATTTCTTGATTTTAAGCCTGAAAATCGAGGAGTAACGGTGATACTCTACAAAGCAAGCATTTACAGTTTTTTTATTGGAATATATTTCCAGAGAAATAGTTCTGTACATAATATGGGAAAAGAAAGCGATGGAATAAAATAAAATTTGTGAGATGAAAAGCACTTGAGAAGGAAAAAGGGAGAAGCCATGTCACGAGAGATGATTACTAAGAGAGAGGGAAAAATAAAAATAAAGAGAATGATGATACTTGGCAATTAAGCAACGAAAAGAGAGTCACTGGCTGGTCGGCGGCGGAGGTGAGCTAGAGCTGCTGGCAGCTCCGGCGCCAGAAAGCAAGTCAGCGATAGCACTCATGGCTCGAACCTGCATCTCAAGCGCCGCAATGTAATCGGTTGCTTCTTCGAGAATAACCGGTAACGGTTGCTTTCTACAACCGGGAACTAACCGGCCAAGAACCTTGACTTTCCTTTGAACAGCCGGTAAACTCTTCGCTCTCAATTTCGAGACGCTAAATCTCGGTTTCCTCGACCGGCTACTCCCGCTGAAGGCAGCCGTCACCGTCGCTGCAGAAGCAGATCCTCTGTTTCTCTTCTGCTTCCTAAACTTGAGCTTAACACGGCTCGTCAGAATCGCTCGGCTCCACCTGGTTCTACCTTTAGCCGCGACGGCCAATGCTCTATCGGCGGCTTCACGGACAGCTCGGCCAGTGCTTGGAGCCGAAGGAGAAGAATAAGAAGAGTTGCTGCTGTTGAGACTGAGTTGCCTCAAAGCTTGAATCAGCTTTGAGGAATAGATTTGTTGCTGCGCCTCTGATTTCCATTTGGCGTGGCTCTGCTGCTGGTTCTCTTTTGACATTGCCGCTGATGATCTCTTCTTATTTTTCTTTCTGCTGCTTCGATCGGAGTTTGAGTTCGTCACTGGATTCGTTATCATGGACGCCATCTACTTGATCAAATCACGTTGATATTCTTTGCCTCTCCCTTGAACCGTATGATTCGATGAATTATAACAGAAAACGAGAAGAAGAAGAAGAAAATTCAAATCAAATTCTGCAGAATGAAACGAATTTATTACGAAATTGAGATGAAAGATAGAAAGAAGAGGAGAGGGAAGAGGGAGAAGGATTATAAAGAAATGGGATGGAATCGTGGCGTAAATTTAAGGATAAATTACGAGTTTAATATCTAAATTATCTATTTTGATCCGTTTTAGTATTTAAATTTTTTTAAAACTATAATTAACCTTTAATTTTTGCTTTATTTTAGTATTTAAATTTAATTGCTATATTTTTTCATTATTTTATCTTTATGTTATATGGTTTGGATGTTGAAACCGTGAAATTACTTAATTTTAATGGTTTTAATCCGATTTATTTTTATAAAGTTAAAATTATAATTTAAATTTAAGATAAATTTTGTGAAAGAAATAATTGAAGATGAATGAAAATGAATTTAGTATAGAAATCTTCAACTTGAGATTATGATTTTTTTTATATATTTTAAGATAAATATTATTTTATTATTTTATTTCAGAATCAAGACAATTTAAAAGGAGCGAACATCTATTAATGCTAGTCAGTGATCAAATAAAAAGATTTAATTTTCAAGTCGAATGTTGAAATATTATAACTCATTTCAGCCCATGTTTATCTTTTAACAAAAGTATCTCTTATTTATTCAAATGAATAAAAAATAATAATCTTATCAAATTTAATATTTTTTTATCAAATATTTAATAATATTATATTTTTAAGATTTTGAACTTCTCTCTCTGATTAAGCTAAAATAATTCGAACATATTTATTATTTATTATCCGTTTTGGGTTTTGTGGAGGTGGGTGCGACCCTTGGTGAGAGGTGGAAATGTTGTTGGTCGGTCCGATTAATTAGCACAGGATGTGCTGGTGGGGGTTCCCCTGTGGGTTTTTGAGTTCGGCTCCGATCCTTTCATTACACTGTCTTAATTTTTCATCAAGCTAAATGCTTTACATGAGAGTTATTTTTAAAAAAAATAACAATCAAATAAAAAATTAATATTTTAAAACACGTTTAAATAAAAATAATTTTGTAACTCAATCAAATAAGAGATATAATATTTTTAAGTGTATTTATATAAACACCTAACATTTTTAAATTTGTTTAATTAATCTAAAACAAATATGAGAGATGAAATTTACCTAAATATAAAGAGTTTCACCGATTAAATGTCTAACGGGGAAAAAAATTAGAAAGGGACGGTGAGGTGTCAAAATGTGATGGGATAGATTCGAGATGTTGGCTTCCAGCCTTCCATTAATTGACCGGGCGAACCCAGTCTTATATAAAAAAAACTTGCTTTCATCTAAAGTTAATAATTTTTTTTACAATAAAAGTTAATAAAAATTTAAAAGCAAGAGTTTATTGACAATTTAATGAAATTTTAAAAAAGCAATATAAAAATATTGTGACATAACATATTATATCAATATATAAGAATTGTTAATTTTAACAATGGAGGATTGGTTTTTAGCTTCTTCAGCTTGTTACTCAGAGCCATTTTAAGCTTTATTGTTCTGGATTCGTCCCATAGATGGTCTGTTTTCCAGAAAGGTTCTTTGTTTTCGCGAAGAGTGGATTGTTTGGCTCGCCTATTCCAACCCTGCTGCGCCTTTGGTTGCTGTTACACTGTAGATTGTTGTTTGGAGTGTTGTTCTCTGGGTCCTTTGTCATCTTGTTGCTTCAGTGGACTTTTATGTTCTGCTTTGCCCTTTGCAGTGTGTCCTTCTGCATACGTTTCCTTAGCTGGTCTGTTTGTGTTTGCTGGAGATGTTCAATTTTTATTTTGTACGGTCGATACTTTGGCTAACATTTATTGGCGTCGAGCATTGCACTCTTTTTTTCATTTAGATTTAGGGAGATTTTTTAATAAGACATTTATTTTCGTCTAATTTTGTACATATTCATACAATATAATCG